ACAGACTGTCATCTGCTTGCTCAATGCTCATCACGGCAACATTTTATGTGATGGGAATAGATCTAAATACTTTAAAAACTTCTCACGATTCGTTAATCTCGATAATAGTAAAAACGTATAATAGCTGTAGTAAAAGTATTCGAGAAAGTTTCGCATGTAATACATAGCTATTTCATATGCAAGCATGTCAGCCAATCACAGCAGTGGCCGGTTACACTGAATCCCACAGCAGCCAATCACAGCAGTGGCCGGTTCGACAGAATCCCACAGCAGCCAATCACAGCAGTGGCCGGTTACACTGAATCCCACAGCAGCCAATCACAGCAGTGGCTGGCTACACTGAATCCCACAGCAGACACGCCCCTTCAAACAGAGCGTTCAAATCAGAGGCTAAAATCAGGCTAGGAAAATGGCCTTTTATTTCTAAATTATGACTGTTTTTGATCTAAAAAACATACTAACATTATAAGGGCAACCCAGGAAACATAATAAATAAAAATAATAAACATAAAATAATAAAATAACCCCATGTCAGGGGACCTTTAAATATGAGCAATAGAAATTTAACAAAACAAAATGTACCTAGTTAAATGTCATTTAAATCCATGGTCTATATTGGTAGGTGGTGCAGTAAAGACTTTTATAATGTTACGAAATATTTTTATTTGAAAAATATCAGCTTTGCCATCACAGGAATATATATATATATATATATATATATATATATATATATATATATATATATATATATTAAACATATTAAACATATTAAAACAAAAAACATTATGTTAAATTGTAATAAATTGTGATCATATTTCACAATATTACTAAGCATTAGTATGGTAGTGAAAATAAAAAACAAAAAAACTGTTATTTTAAACTAATAATAATTTACAATAATATACTGTTTTTGTCTATATACCAATAAATGCAGCTTTGATGAACATAAGAATTTTCTTTCAAAACCTTTAAAAATCTTACTGATCCCAAACTTTTGAACATTACATGCATAAATGTAGAAATGTGTATCTGTCTTTGTGTATTAGAAGATTGAACTGGCAGGGTGTTCAAAAGAGTTTCATTCTGACACACACCACATGGCTAAACTGCAGATTTTAACAAGCCAGCTCATTTCCTGTGCGATTGGGCCCTGACCAGGCCCCAACCGGGCCTCTTCTGAACCCATTTAGCGTTCCAATAAAACGTAGAAAGCCCATGTGGCACACTAAGGCCGTGTTTGACACCATGCGGTCAGAGATCAAGCACTCTGACGGGGCTAATGAGGATGAATGGGGGCCAGGGCACCTCCAAGACGCCTCTCCTTAAGCCCAACCACCATTACTTAAGGCAACACCATTAATGTGAAACGCCCCCACTCCATTTAGCAGCCAAATTAAAGCTGTCTGACATGAGGTGGTAAAAAAAAAAAAAAAAAAAATTATGCCAACAAAGTTGTTTTTAGTAGGAACTTGTTTCCATTTCGGGGTACAACAGTAACGACTGAACACTTTACTACTGGTAGTGGAAGGGAGGTGATATAAGGGGGAAATAAATGATCAGACGAAATCCTTTAAAATAACGTGTCCCTAACGAGTATAGTGTGTGGTTAATCTTAAACTGTATTGCAGGGATTTCAGTTCTCACATACCATCTGGTGTCTGATAACACCCCACGGTCTTCAAATGAATTTATAAAAGGCTGTTATTTGATATGACTAGTTACACTAAATGGTTTTACTAATTCTCAATGTCTCTGGCAGGCACTCAATGATCTCACTGTGCCAAAGTCTGACTTAAATCCATCTTACTTATCTCTACAGATTTAAAGTTATACATTAATGATTTGTAATTCAAACACACTCATACAGAGCGGTTCTACAAACTCTAGTGCAATGAAAAAAAATCAGCAGGGATCAAAACATTTAATCAGTCAATTATATTATGTTGCTCTACATGCCCTTATGTTCTTCACTTTACACGGACACAATATTTTAAATCAAATGACAATTGGCTACTATGAAAAGCATTTAATAAGACAAGCAACAAAAAAGCAATAAGATGTGACATTCTATATCCTGTATTTTACTTAAAGAATAACAAATAATTATTGACATTTTAAATCAAACCTATACACCTCATTATTATTTAGTACTGTAAATAGTTTGTCAGACAACAAAACATATCGACACACTAACACTATACATGTCACAAGATGAAGATGATGAGGGACAGTTCAAAAAGGTTTCAATGAACAAAAGGGTATTTTAATGAAAACAAACTCAGATAATCCATGAAGATTAAGGCAACATAAGAGCGTGTGTAACACGCACACAAACAATAACCGACAAACACAGAATGAAGGTGAGAATCTTAAATAGACAGTGATAATGAGGAGATGACAAACAGGTGTGATGATCCATGGGAACTGATGACCGACAGAAACAGCGATGAAGGTTCAGAGGAAACAGGAAGAAAGTTCATACAGTCAGTGGTGCTGTCTAGGAACAGTGTTGAAAATTCCCGAAATGGGGTGGGATAGGGTGGGAGACGATACCTCCGCACTGAAGTCAATCAGCCAGTCCTCAGTCTCAAAATCCACCAAAATACCCTCGGCCACTGACGTCGTGGGCTCACACCCCTGGTCAGACTCACTGGAGGGCTCCTCTTCCGGGGCGAAGGTCCACGCTGACCTTTTATCTTCGGGCACTGGCTGACGTGTGGCAGCTCTCCGTCTGCAGGGGGCTCACACATTTCATCCGTGGTTGATGGTGGTGGAACGGACTCTGTGTCCGGGTGTGTTCTGGACAGGGGGTAAACATTCTCCAGAATCTAGAGGTGTCTGGCAGGTCTACGGGGTGATTGTAATTCGCCCCGATCCAGAACTGTGACTGCAGGGTCTCGTCGTCAAAGGGGCTGGTCACGGCAAGAAGGCAGAATTGTCCATTGAAGGTTAAAAAATCCTGGCTCTCAGGAGCCAAAACAGAAAATCTTACTGCATGTTCCATTTGGTCGGTTGTTCTGTCACAAGATGAAGATGATGCGGATGAAGGAGACTTCAAAGGGGTTTCAATGAACAAAAGGGTCTTTAAATGAAAACAAACTCAGGTAATCCACGAAGAGGAAGGCAACGTAACAGCATGTGTAACGCACGCACAAACAACAACCGACAAACACAGAATGAAGGTGAGAAACTGAAATAGTGATAATGAGGAGATGGCGAACATGTGTGATGATCTGATAAGTGTCCATGGGAACTGATGATTGGCGGGAAAACTCGAACAAAGGAACACATGTGAAAACAAAACTGAAAGAAAAGTTAAACTAAAGATGAATGAGTCCAGATAACTGTGACAGTGTCGTGTCTTATAATTATTTATGTTAATTCTAACAAATTGACAAATTATAATTAAACAATATTCTGACTAATGGTGACACAATCACTGAAATATATAGCAACTTGCACTTTGAATATAGCTTTTGCCTTATTGTTCTCATCCATTTACTTTATCTTTATTCTATCTATTTTTTTCTTAAATAACTAACACCTTTAATGATACCCATTTCAAGCTGAAAAAGTCAGTAATTTTAATCAAATGCAAATATTGTTTTCTTTAATGTTTCTTATATTAAATACATTCTATGCGTCACTAATTTACTCTTTATGTGTATTCAAAATTCAGTCCCATCATATGATTTAATGTCATTTTATTTTATCTTATGAATGTTATGAACCCCTGACAACAGCCCTGAATATGCCAACTGATAACGTGAACATTTAAGTTTAATCATCTTTATGTCTGTGTCTATTTTTCAATTACTTAAAACTAGCATTGATTAATAGCACTGATGTAGGCAATCAGAGTTTAAAAACAGAAAGAGTTCCACCTGCATTCACTCTAATCTTTTTTTTTTCATTTACTAATGCATAGACGGTGAACAACATGTTCTGCTCTAAATGCCTGAGCACAAATGCCTATTTTAAACATTTATCGGTTTATTTCTTATCTAGGTACCTTTTAAAAAAAAGGCTCAAGTCAACCACCTACATGTATCCTTAAATATAAAATATTAATCTAAGCAACTTTCCTGGAAAACAAATGTAGACAATTATAATACAAAAGTGGAATTACATCACTTGGAAACTGTTATATTCCTTGTATGATGTCTCATAAAACCCCGCTCATAGTGAGAGGGATTTAACAGAAATCCAATAACACCACAAAATGTTTACAAGAAGCTGCATTTTCCACCAATAAAACGCTGCTTCAGCAGAACTTTTTAAGCTATGTGTTATTAAATAAAACCCAATCATAAAGCTGATAGCACTGATGCCGAATTGATTAGATTTTCTGTGAATAAGCGGAAGACTGCAGCACGAAAGAAAAGCGAAATTGAGGCCACTAAACTCTGATTGATCAAATTAATGAGCTACACTGTGTATAAAATGCAAGTGTGTATGCATGTATGCCATATGGAAAATACAATGAAACTATTTATGTAGTTCTAAATACCTTGAATGTCCAAACTTTATAATTACTAGCATTTGTCATGAGTTATGCAGACAGCCTTCGCTCCTATTGCCACATCAATTACATTTGCTTTGAACAAGCAGATGACCATGTCTCATTGTAGCAAGAAAAGCTTGTTAAAAGCAGTTTTTCAAAACCTTACTAAATTGGATGAATGGCTCAATAAATGAGGTAAAGATTTGAATAAATGTTCGAGTCCCTGTGTGTGATTTTGTGCACCATCTAATCAAGCCCATTTGAGCAATCAGACTCTTTAAAATAGATCTTTAATTTCCAGCAGAGTTCAGGTCAAGTTTAGCCAATTGAGCAGAAAAATTCAGTTCAAGCTGAGCCTGAGAACATGTCGGAAAAAAAATATTGATTGGTTGCATAATGCATACCTCTGAAAGAATCTGCAATAGCACTTGGAAATTCTCAGCAATTGATGCTGAAGCTGTTAAATAAGTCCAGAGTAAATGCAGTGATGTCTTACCTGTGGGCTTAGACTGGGTCTGAAGGACATGCTGGTGGAGGACGGGCCGCTCATGGAGGGATGGCCCAAGGGCGAGCTGATGACGGGGAACGGCGAGGACAGGCCGTTGATGGGCGAGTGCAGCTGACCCGGGCTGGAGCTCATGGCAGACGGGCTGAGCAGGGGCTGGTGCAGAGGATGGTTACTGATGCCTCGGTGACCCATGGAGGAGCTCAAAGGAGGCGACGAGAGCTGACCGGAGGAGTCTGCAGGACGGCGAGAGGGAAAAAGTGTTACACACAAAGGAAACTTCAGGAATATTTTGCATTGTGAGAGGTAAATAAAGCCATTGTGTCTACGTTAGGATATTTTACACAGCTGCTGTTGTGAAAAGGTTTAAGAATGTGAAAATAGAGTGCAAATATCCATTCAATTAAAAAATTTGACTAATGACCAAGATTTTAAGGTTTTTCTTAAACTTTCCAAATAAAAGTGTTTAATTCACAATGTAAACATTTACAAAAAAATAAATAAAAATGTCCAGCAACAAAAACTTTCTAATTCAAGAAGTCTGACACAGAGAAGGTGCTAAATCGTCATAAAAACTATGACAAATAACATAAGTCAAATAATTAAAATAATTAATATAGCATACATATACTGATATAATAAATACATTAACAGTCGATTTTGGTATATAATAAGACATTATAAGTGCATGTCAAAAAAATTAAATGATAAATTATATTTTATATTGATATTATATAATATTGACATTTCTATTTAAAATATGTGACATGACGTGAAGGCCAAGTTTTAACCCATCCAAGTAAGTGCACACACATTAGGAGCAGTGAGTAGTGACACACACACACACACACACACACTACAAACTGTGGAGACCCACCCGGAACTTTCTATTCATCAAACAATCCTGAATTTGTTTTATCATGCTCCCACAAAACTATTGAGCAAAACAACCATTTTCAACATTGATAATAATAAGAAAGGATTCTTGGGCATAAAATCAGCATATCAGAATGATTTCTTCTGAAGGATCATGAAGACTGGAGTAATTATGCTGAAAATTCAGCTTTGCCATTACAGGAATAACTTACATTTTAAAATATATTCAAACAAAACACAGTTATTTAAAAAAGAGTAATAATGTTTTACAATATTAATGTTTTTACTGTATTTTTGATTAAATGAATACAGCCTTGATGAGCATAAGAATTTTTTTTACTGACCTCAAACACGAATGTATATTATTATGTATTCTTCAAGAAGTATTATCATGCTAATTATATGTGGGTACTTGCACAGACACTGTGTACATACACACTGTGTTTGATACATTTGTTTGTGTGTGTGGTCCTAGTAAACCTTACGTTATGGGGATACAATGATTGCAATATCAGAAACCCTTGTCCTTCTGGGGACATTTTTGGTCCCCATGAGGAAAACAGCTTGAACATTTTTTGCTTTTTGAAAATATAAAAATGCAGAAAGTTTTCTGTGATGGTTGTGTTTAGGGTTAGGGATTGAATATACAGTTTGTACATTATAAAAATCATTATGTCTATGGAAAGTCCCCATAAAACATGAAAATGTGTGTGTGTGTTTGTGTTTACTCTTCTATACGTATCCTACATATTTACCGTACTGTCAGTTGATTTGTTGACAATGTCTACACTGATAACACAGTGGACTTCAGCCACAACTTGCCTTCTCTTTACAGAGAGAGTAAACACATGTTGAGAAAACACAGAGGGCTTAATTACTCATCCTAGTTTTCCCCCCACAGCTACAAGGCCTTGACTGAAATGAAAACAATATTAATCTTCCTATACATGCAGCAACACATCTCAGGAAAAGGTAACAGTTCAAGTGTCATAGCAAATATTGTATTGAAACATCAGCTTCGGCTTATTTTCCCACTCTGACTATTGTGAAACATTTCAAAGGTCATTAGTCATTCAGTGTGTTTCTCTGGTAAAAGCAAGTTTGTAATATAATTTTTATTTCCGTCTATTGAAAAGCATGAACACAGTCATTTTATTCTATTAAAATCAGCAATGTTCTTTTATATCACGTGTCTTAAGTCCAGTGACAAGTAACATCTTTCCACTGAAATGGAAACTACTGAGCGACAAAACAAAATCACTGCTTATTACAAAATTATGTTTAATATACAACATAGGGATTTTTCACTGTGGGCGGAGCTACATGGCAACTGACAAAATGTCCTGCTACTCATCACGGGCTGCACTGTTAATTGGGGCAAAAAAAAAAAAAAACGGTTGTCGTTCCTATGATTTTATCATGTCAGCTCTAACGCTAGCTTACATTGAGAAGACAAAAATGATGGTTAAAGGAGAACCGTTTATTCACAATAGTGAAGATTCAAACCTGTGAAACAAAAGAAACTCATTCCTGACATGAACAAAAATCATAAACTATGAACTTAACAATAAACAATGACATGGAACAGCATACTATTCTTCAATACATGACAAAGTGACACGGCAACCATGAACAGACATAACTAATAAAACAAGAACCAATGAGAACACGACACATGCAACAAAGTAACCAATGAAAACAAGACACGTACTAAGGAACAAATCAGAACATGACACATGACAAGGAATCACATGACATGAACAGGTGACCCAGTAAACATGAACTTCAAAATAAAAGACATGAAAATATAAACTGAGAACATGAAAACATGAACAAAACCTAAACAGTCGTGACTTCAACAGTTACTTTAAGAGATATTTCTACTTGATTTGATCAATAAAAATTACTTTCATTGGTTTATCCCAATATTTTCAAGTTTGTAGAAAAATATTAAATAATTTCTTTGACTTGAAGTCAATTTAGATGTTACCACATAATGTATACTTTTTAGATGGCAAAACAATTGTACAGTGTGTTTAAGTTTATAGAATATGCATATTATGACTGAGTATTGCTGGTGGTATGACGGTACACCCATAGGTATAGTGTGACACTATTAAGATTTTGTTATACCATAGTAAATACATGTGTGCTGTTATCAGTGGGCAGTTATTTACATGCTATTTACATTTAAATGATGAATTTTAATTTTGGGGTGAACACCAATGTGAAACCAAACCACTGAAGATTATGAGGAGCTATGTAAGTTTAAGATTTGTCAGGTTGGATTTACGCCAGGGATTCTTTCCGCCAACCCAAACCAGCCCTGTACACTGTCACCAGCATTTCTCCAAAACGTATCTTAAAAAAGCGGAAAGCTCATGCACACTCATGTTTTCTTTTAAAAATCTGTCTGAAAGCCCTCGCTGGACAGTTTAAATTGGTTGTGATCTGGTTTCTCATCCTATCTGCATGACAGATTATGAGTTTGCAACAAATGACGGTTGGCGATATGTGTCTCTGACACACCACATACATGCACACACCTTCTCCCCTGCCACAACTTTTGGGCACAGGTACATTTAGGCATGTACATTCACACAGACTATAAACATCAATACACACCTACTGTATACACACATTCCCAGAGCACTGAACTAACATTTCAGATCATAAACAAGGTGTGTAGGAAGATCATTAGAAGCCTCGAAGTGACTTTTCGCCCCCCCCCTCTCTCTCTCTCTCTCTCTCTCTCTCTCTCTCTCTCTCTCTCTCTCTCTCTCTCTCTCTCTCTCTCACACACACACACACACACACACACACACACACACACACACGTTCATTTATACACCACAAAACTAATTTGAATGAGAATCAGAGCTATTCTGAGCTACAGAAAATTGCGGTTTTCTCCCAAAGATGACCACATGCTGACAGCAAGATTTGCAGCTCAAATCCTTCCTCTGAGAACTACAGCATAACTAAGCATAAAACTGGCCTACACTGAAAAATATGTGGTGTTGGATTTACTTTGAAACAACTCAGAAATTGCAAGTGAATTTCACAAATAGCTACAAAGAAATGGCAAGTAACACATTGAATTAAACATGAAAACTTGTAAAACATACTCCAGTTATCTTAGTTTTATTCACAACTTAGAAAAACCATTTGTTACAGTCTACAGTTAAGCTCACAGACGTCTCCTGCTTCACATACAAGTTTATGTCCAGTTTCAAAGCTAAACCCCTGGAATACAAAAATAATGTCATTAATATCTCAACACTGTGAATTTTGGCTCGGTTTTATTTTAATATAGACAACCGGTAGAGTCTCTGTGTCAATTAAGAATATGATTTGGCCTTATCGCGTAAACACAACAATCTTGACTCGACCGCTATATAAACACTGCCACACAAGGTGTTTACTCAATCGCCACAAACACCTACTCACTGAAATGTAAATCAAGGGTGGGAGATAAACAGACTAGGGGATAAGGATATACCGCCAGCCTAAGCAAAATGTATTTGAGCAAAACATCGTTACAGTTCGCTAATGAGGCAGCGAGAAGCAAAGCAGAGGCCTGATTAGTCGGAAGATGAGGGATGATGGGAAGGCAGAGCAGAGGGTTGACTTCATCACAACACAACACACTGCTGAACCGCATGGAAACACACATGACAAGATCATAACTCGCAATGCTACTGAGTTTGATCCAAGCAAAGAAAGAGTGGAAATCTTTATAGATTAACATTCTAATGCATTTTTTTTATTTATTTATTACTTTGTAATTATTTTATTTTATTTTAATCCAGAATAAAAACACATAGGCCTATTTAGATGTGTATTAACTGACTGAGGACTTTAATTGTATTTCTATTTTCTTTTCTTTGCCCTTTTTAATACATTAAATCTATTATTACTTATAACTATTATTACTCTTTATTGTTATTATTTTTTTCTTTTTCTCATGGACCTTTTATTATTATTTGTAGTCAGTTTTATGTAAAGCCCTTTGAATTCATTTAATGCTATAAACTGATTATTAAATACATTTAAATAAATAAGTATGAATAATAATTCATATATTGCATAATATCTCTACTATTATTTTACTTCAGTATTTCATTTTGCACATATGCTGCAACGACGAGTAAGAGTGATAACATTTAAAATATTTTCTTTGTGTCGTTTTTCATAGAAATCTCACCGGCACAATGCCGTACTACGGTGTTGTTGTTGTTTTTTGCATTTTTGCTATGCATTTTGAGTGGGTTTTAATGTGTTGCTAAGGGTGTTATGGATAGTTGTTCTATAGATGGTTGCTTAGTCTCTGTTGGCCTAAGTCAAAAAAGTCATTTTC